GCAGGTGGAGGGTGAGGTTTAGGGAGGTGAAGGTCTGTATGCAGGTGGAGGGTGAGGTTTAGGGAGGTGAAGGTCTGTATGCAGGTGGAGGGTGAAGTTTCCTCCCTTTTTCTCCCCTGGACACTTTGTTTGAAGTTGCATTTGGCTCTTCTTTCAATAGAAACATGAAAGTACATATTTCATGTAAGTTTCACAGAGCAGGTACAGTCTCATCAAAGCCAAAGGGACGAGAAAGCAGTTTCCTCATTACTGCCTTTCCATGGAGGGTAAATGGTTTGTTTACTTGAGGCTTCGTCTCGACTGTTCTCCAAGTCCAGTGAAAGGAGAAACTAGGACAGGTTCATACCGCAGGTCCCACTTTCAGGTGGCAAAGTCCAGAGACGTCTTTGTTAATATCTGGCTGGGCCCTCTGTCTGGCTGGGCCCTCTGTCTGGCTGGGCCCTCTGTCTGGCTGGGCCCTCTGTCTGGCTGGGCCCTCTGTCTGGCTGGGACTCCAGTCCGTTCAGTGATGGTCTGCGCCCTCGTCTGCTGTTGGCTGCAGAGGCTGAGCTGTGCTGTGTCTTGAGGCTTGAACCTGGTGACCGATAACCTCCCTTTGTGTTCTCTCCCTGCTCGGGTGAGACCTCAGTCCCTGTTGCTTGTACCTGCCACGTTGTTGAGGTCTCTGCTGTCTCTAACATGGTGGAACCCATGTCAGGAAATGGGCAAGTAGGTGTGGTGTGGCCTCCCTGGGCTCTGCCCCACCTGAGTCCCAGTCCTTGGCCCACCTGGGCACTCTGGGGTCGGAACCTCAGGCATTTGCTCAGTTCCTGAAACTGGAGGAACATATGTGGATGTACAGGGCAGGTGGCGTCGTCTGGGCCAGGACGGGAGGGATATTGTGTGGTGGGGGTCCACCGGTGCCCACGACTACATGACCCGTCTTCTCTGTGTCTAGACTGGGGCCCTGCTCAGCGCCTTTGTCCAGCTCTGCCACATTTCCACAACGCTGGCCGAGAAGACGTGGGTCCAGCTCTTCCCCAGACTCTGGAAGATTCTGTCCGACAGACAGCAGCATGTAAGTTGACATTTACACCAGGCGTGTGTGCACCAGGGCCCCAGCTCACTGTCTCCCATACCTGAGAGGTACAGCTTCAGTTCCTGTCCGATGAATAGATTTTTAAAATGGATTAAGCTTTGGGCACCTAACTGAAAGGTTGGTGGTCCAAACCAGCTGCTGTGCTGGCGGAAGCCTTGGCGGTCAGCGTCTGTGAAGATGCAGCCTCGGGCGTTCCGAGGAGCCAGCTCTGCTCTGTCTTGCCGGCATCAGGAGCCAGGGTCAGCTCAGTGACCGTTTCTCTGCTCTGTGATGGCTTCATACTCATCCATGAAGAGAAATGAAGTGTGCATAACACGGCTGATTGGAAGAAGGCAGGCACAGTGTACGCCCCACACATAGAGAGTAGGCCAGTGTATGGAACCCCAAGCTTCTTGGGGTGCCCCACTGAGTTTGAACTGACATAGCTGACTTCCCAGTGGGTTCTCAGAAGCCGTGAACTGGACAGGAGGACAGTGTTCACCTTCCTCCATCGGAGCAGCTGGTGGACCCCCTTTGAGTTGACAGCGCAGTGCTTACCCGTGAGACCATCAGAGACCCTAGCTTTCTGGTGGCTATCGGGGGGCAGAGGGACCACCGCTCAGAGCCTGTGTGGTGCCGTTAGAGGGGAGAGGATCGTGGTGGGGCTTGAACAGCACGGTGAGCAGGCACAGAGAATGCCACCAAGTTGTCCATCTGAAAATGGTTGGTTTGTTTTGTTTCGCGCGTGTGTGTGTGTGTGTGTGTGTGTGTGTGTGTGTGTGAGATTATACCATTGTTGTTGTTGATTGCCTTCGAATCGAGCACGACTCATAGCGACCCTGTGAACAAAAAGCTTGAAGCCCCTCTACAACTGTCGACATTTATCAAAGTTCATAGAGTTTACAGAGGCATGTAGTTTAGGAAGTGGATGCCAATCTACTTTGACAACATATAATTTGATGTAAGTATGTGTGAAAGAAGACCGTGTTGATGATGTACCAGGTGCTGAGGCGGCTGTTCACGAAGGGCGAGGGGTGCTAACCTGTGCAGCACGGGGCGGGCAGTCGCTGGCCTGACCCCGAGTGCCCTGTCCCCCCACCCTCCAGGCACTGGCCGGCGAGATCAGCCCCTTCCTGTGCAGCGGCAGCCACCAGGTGCAGCGTGACTGCCAGCCCAGCGCCCTCAACTGCTTCGTGGAGGCCATGTCGCAGTGCGTGCCCCCCATCCCCATCCGGCCCTGCGTGCTCAAGTACCTGGGCAAGACCCACAACCTGTGGTTCCGCTCCACGCTCATGCTGGAGCACCAGGCCTTCGAGAAGGGGCTCAGCCTGCAGATCAAGCCCAAGCAGACGGCCGAGTTCTACGAGCAGGAGAGCATCACGCCTCCGCAGCAGGTCAGGGCTGGCGGGAGTCGCTGCCTCGGGGGACGCTGCCGGCCACACGGGGTACTCAGACCGCACGCGTGTGTCTGCAGGAGATCCTGGACTCCCTGGCCGAGCTGTACTCACTGCTGCAGGAGGAGGACATGTGGGCCGGCCTGTGGCAGAAGCGCTGCAAGTACTCGGAGACGGCCACGGCCATCGCCTACGAGCAGCACGGCTTCTTTGAGCAGGTAGCGCACCGGCGGGCGGCTCGGGCTGTGCGCTGGGGTCCAGCCGCAGTCACGGGTCCAGTTGGGCGGGTGTGCTGTGTGGTCACAGCGTCCTCCTGTGACCACGCGCGGACCAGGACCAGCATCAGTGCCATGGGCACCTGCTCTCATCATAGATGACCGTCACTGTCCCCTCTTGGCTCGGCTTGGCCGTTCTGGGAGGAGGTGGACGCTTCCAAGCTCCCAGCTGAGTACTGGGCAGTGACGAGAAGGACATGTCCCCTCTTGCAGGCGCAGGAGTCCTATGAGAAGGCCATGGACAAGGCCAAGAAGGAGCATGAGAGGAGCAGCGCATCTCCTGCTATCTTCCCTGAGTACCAGCTCTGGGAGGACCACTGGATCCGGTGCGCTGACCGCGGGGCTGCTGGGCCGTGGAGGAGGGGTGGGAGGACCACTGGATCCGGTGCACTGACCACAGGGCTGCTGGGCCGTGGAGGAGGGGTGGGGTGACCACTGGATGAGGTGCACTGACCGCAGGGCTGCTGGGCCGTGGAGGAGGGGTGGGAGGACCACTGGATCCGGTGCGCTGACCACGGGACTGTTGAGCCGTGGGGTAGGGGTGGGAGGACCGCTGGATCTGGTGTGCTGGGCTGCGGGGCTGTGAGGGCCAGGATGTCGTTGGGGAGGCTGTGAGGATACTTAACCCTAACCAGGAAAGTTCTCTCGTGGTGCAAGCTTGGGGGGGGTGGGGCGCGGAGCAGACCGCCTCTGAGTCTGGTGGTTAGAAAGGTCTTCTGTTGAGAATCAGTGGGCTGGGTCTGGCTTGGTTCCTGGTTGGTGCCGTGTAAGGGGCAGGCTTTGGGGTCAAGGACTGTCTCAGGTGGGCTGCAGGCTCTTGGTTGCATGGGGACGGGGCTTCCTCCCAGGGCAGGGCCCACTGTGGAGCAGTAGCCTTGTGTTCCCAGAAAGTGCCCTCCCAGGGTCAGGGTGTTTTCTGGAACAGAAGTCCCTGGTGGTCTGCTGGCCCCTGACTTTGTTTTTCGGTCATGGGTCCTAGGTGCTCCAAAGAGCTGAACCAGTGGGAGGCCCTGACGGAGTACGGCCAGTCCAAGGGCCACATAAACCCCTACCTGGTCCTGGAGTGTGCCTGGCGGGTCTCCAACTGGACGGCTATGAAGGAGGCGCTGGTCCAGGTGAGCGCCCCACCCTGCTCCTGGGGGACTGTCCAGGGACGGAGCGTGAGAGGGGCCAGAGCAGGGTCTGCAGAGGAGGGGCTTCAAGTGTAAGAGGGGTGGAGTAGGGACCAGCAAGGAACTTCCAGTTTCTTACTTCACTCAGCCGGCCACCCAAAAAATTGTCTTCTCGATGCCCTTTTGTGCGAGGGAGTCACGACACCTCTCTGCATGCTGCTCTCCCCACGCACCACCCTCTTCCTCAGTGTCCCCGCTGTGTGGACATCACACCTGCTGTCCCTGCATGCTGCCCTGTCCCTTCTCTCCCTGTGTGCCATCCTTTTCCTTGGTGCCCTGCTCTCTGCTCAGTGCCCCTCTGTGTGGACACCACACCTGCTGTCCCCACATGCTGCCCTGTCCCCTCCAGGTAGAAGTGAGCTGCCCCAAGGAGATGGCCTGGAAGGTGAACATGTACCGCGGCTACCTGGCCATCTGCCACCCCGAGGAGCAGCAGCTCAGCTTCATCGAGCGGCTGGTGGAGATGGCCAGCAGCCTGGCCATCCGCGAGTGGCGGCGGCTGCCCCACGTGGTGTCCCACGTGCACACGCCGCTCCTCCAGGTGGGCATGGGGACCAAACGCACAGCTGAGAGGCGCCCTGCACCTGCCTCGCTCCCATCTAGACCGGTCCCGGAGCGGCGTGCACATCCTGGGCATCCAGCGTCCTATCTCGTCTTTAGTTTAAGGTCCTGGCGTCCCCAGGAGTCGTTTGACGTGGTGACTGCTCAGCCGTCACCCCTAGTGCCCTTTGCACCGCCATGTCCAGTCCCTGGGAGGGGTGTGGCGTCCATGAGCTCAGCTGGTAACTGAAAGGGCGGCAGTTTGCACACAGGGACAAAGGCCTGGTGATCTTCTTCCCAAAGCCAGCCATTGAAAACCCACAGAGCTCACGGCTCACGGGGCTCAGAGTCAGAGCCTGACACGGTGGCCGCGAGGGCTGGCCTGGAGCCCGGGAGCCAGCAGGTTTCAGGCTGCCGAGTGACAGGGCCGTGGGTCTGCGTGGGGAATGGGGGCTGCGGAGCGAGGCCGTGTGAGTTACGTGCTGCTTTAGTGTCAGAAGCGTAAGGCCTGTCCTGGGGACCCCCCCCCCCACGATCCCCGCTGGCCGCGGGACCGCCGTCCTCAGAGGGTCTGGGGGACGCTGACCCCTCCCTGTGTGCTCCGTCCAGGCAGCTCAGCAGATCATCGAGCTGCAGGAAGCTGCACAGATCAACGCGGGGCTGCAGCCCAACAACCTGGGCCGGAACAACAGCCTGCACGACATGAAGACGGTGGTGAAGACGTGGCGGAACCGCCTGCCCATCGTGTCCGACGACCTGTCCCACTGGAGCAGCGTCTTCATGTGGCGTCAGCACCATTACCAAGGTAACGTGCCTCGGTCGCTGCGCTCCGCCCGTGCAGGTGGCCGCTGGGTGGGGGCGGCTGGGGAAGGGCGGCTTCTGAGAGAGGAAGACGGCTCGATGTTTTTCACGTAGCGCAGAATTGCTCCTGGGATATTGCCCCTGTGCCCAGGGCCTGGGTGACCACAGCTTGCTTATAAAGCCTCCCCCAACGCCCAGGAGAAGCTCGCTGTGTTCCTGTGTAACCTCTCCTGGTTTTTCTGGGCACACCCTCTCATTCCTGACCTGCAGGGCCCTGCTAGGACAGCCTTCAGCATCTTGTGCTTTGGGGCACCCCCTCTCATCCTCAACCTGCCAGGGCCCTGTCAGGGCAGCTTTCAGCATCTTGTGGTTTTTCTGGGGCACCCCTCACATCCCTGACGTCAAGGGCCCTGCTGGGGTGGCCTTCGGCATCTCGTGGTTTGGGGCACCCCTTCTCATCCCCAACCTGTAGGGAGGACTCTGCCAGGGCAGCCTTAGGCATCATTTGGGGCGCCTGGACGGTCTTACGAGCTCCCTGGACCCTCCTGTGCTTGAACAGAACACAAGGCCGTGGCCGGAGCTCCACGTGCATGGGTTTGTGATTTGTCATGCTGTTCTCTCTCCGCAGCAATCGTAACGGCCTATGAAAATAGCTCTCAGCACGACCCCAGTTCAAACAACGCCATGCTGGGAGTTCACGCCTCGGCCTCGGCCATCATCCAGTACGGGAAGATTGCCCGCAAGCAGGGCCTGGTCAACGTGGCCCTGGACATCCTCAGCCGGATCCACACGATCCCAACCGTTCCTATCGTGGACTGCTTCCAGAAGATCCGGCAGCAAGTCAAGTGCTACCTGCAGCTGGCAGGGGTCATGGGGAAGAATGAGTGCATGCAGGTGGGTGCGGGGGCCCGCTCGGCCGCGGCCTCTCTTCTGGAACGCGGTGGACCCTCGAATGACTGTGCCTCCCGCCCCTGTGCGCTGGGGAACTCGCGGGTCGTTCACGGCTGGCCCGGAGCGTCAGTCTGACTGCTCAGGTGGGGGTGAGGCACCGCACACGGTGGTGTGACAGGCAGAGACCCTGGAACTCCGCAGTCACAACGGGAAACACCCGCGCTCAGGGCCGCACTGTACCAACGCAGGGCTGCTAACCCAAGCAGATGCTTGGTTAATGTGTATGGGGAAAGAGAATTTCAAACCACAGAATGTGTGCAAGTGTGAGATACATTTTCAGTCTGTTCAGGGAAAGACCAGTAAAAACTATAGAGGTATGACTTGCTGTGGACACGATACTACAGTGAGGTTACCCAGCCTGGCACGTGGTTTAAACATGACCTGTTCCCCTGGGAGCGCCTTTTCCTTCTCAGTTTAAGTTGTACGTGTCTGTAACTTGTGTGGCTTCACTCCCTCGAGGAAGGTTTTTATGAACTTGATCTACTCTTCTATCACTCTTCTCACTGTCCTTTTTTTTTTTCAACAGGGCCTTGAGGTTATTGAATCCACAAACTTGAAGTACTTCACAAAAGAGATGACAGCTGAGTTTTATGCGCTGAAGGGGATGTTCTTGGCTCAGATCAACAAGTGCGTGAGCTGTCCGGGAGGAGGGGAGAAGGGAGAACACAGCAGACACGGGAGCACAGCTGTTCTCACCCGAGGACTGCTCACCGGGGAGACGGGTGTGATGCAGCCGCGGGGCCTAGCGTCTCGGCTGGGGTCCTGTGCTGCTGGGGTCCCCGTGCTGCCGGGGTCCCGTGCCGCCGCCAGGGGTCCCGTGCGGTGGCAGTTGGCACCGTGTGCTGTGTGTGCGTGACGAGTGTGGTGGTTAGAAAGCTTTGAGGAGCAGTTGTGTTAGCCTGGCTCAGGGTTCCTGTTTTCTGCGGCTGCTGTTTGGAACCACTGATTCCTTTGAGGGCAATGCATTCTCTCTGCTGGAGCAGGGTCATTGACCCCACCTGTGGGCTGGAGTAGCCAGCCTCGGGGCTTGTAATGAAAGCGCCGCATGTCCATGCTCCTCCTTGGCACAGGAGTCCTGGTGGTGTAATGGTTAAGCATTGGACAGCTATCTGAGAAAGGTTATAACCCACCAGCTGGTCCAAGAGGAACCCACCAGGTGGTCTGCTTCCAGGGAAGTTTGAGGCCTCAGAGGCACTGAGGGACCATGCTTGAGTCTGCAGGGCCATGAGAGGAGGTGGTGATCTGCTTCCAGGGAAGTTTGAGGCCTCGGAGGGCCTGAGGGAGAGTGCTCGAGTCTGCAGGACCTCTGTGAGTCCCAGCCCTGATGGGTTTGGGTTTTAGCACAGTCCATACCAGACTCGATTGTTGAACTATTGAGCCCGTGAGCACTAGGTTCGGGTCAACACCACCTGGCCTGGAAGTTAGACATTGACTCTGACTCTTCCCAGAAAAGGGTGTCTGAGCCATATTTGGGAAAACTAAGTGTCAGAATTAATGAGAGCATACTGGCAAAATGCTGTCGCCTGTTGACATATTTTAAGCAGTAAAGCACTTTATTGCCCTTCGAGTTTACAACCAGTTGAGAATGGGAACTCAGAAACATGTTTGTTCATGACTGTGTTCTTCACATCAGCCACTTGGTGGAAGCAACTCAAAATGTCATCCCCGGTTCTGTGCTGGGGAATATTACTGAGCCGTAACAAAGGAATGACGTTGTGATTCAGGCTGATTAAGAGGCCAGACCGGACGGCCACATTACTTCCTGGTTCGGTGTCTAAACCTGCGAGATGGGAAGTAGCTGGGGGAGAGGTGGGGACGGGGATGGCTCTGTGAGCACCGGGTACCGTGTGATGGTGGGGACGACCACGCAACACGGTGAAGGTGCTGAATGCCACCGAGATGTGCATTCTGGAATGTCTGCTTTCTGTCCCGGGGCTCCACCCCTCCCAAAGCCGACGTGGCCTCTGTCCTCCCAGGTCCGAGGAGGCCAACAAAGCCTTCTCCGCGGCTGTGCAGATGCATGACGTGCTAGTGAAAGCCTGGGCCATGTGGGGCGACTACCTGGAGAACATTTTCGTGAAGGAGCGGCAGCTGCACCTCGGCGTGTCCGCCATCACCTGCTACCTGCACGCTTGCCGGCATCAGAACGAGAGCAAGTCCAGGAAGTACCTGGCCAAGGTGAGACTGGGCGGGCCACGAAGCAGCCCTCCTGTCGACCAGCCGTGGTTGCTCTGTCATGAGCCGGCCAGGCCTCGCTCTTCATTCTCACCGCCCTCCACGGCCTCCACGTGGCTCACTGCTCTCTCGTCCTGCTCTTTGTTTGCTTTTTATTGAGTTGAAAGCAGACAGTGAGATGGTCCCCAGGGCAGCGCCTCCCGCTGCACGGAGCCTTCCCACACCATCGTGTGGAAGTGGGAGTGTACGGTGTTCACCGTTTGCTCTGATTGATTCAGCTCCATCCTTCATGTCGTGATGTGTCTGGGTCTTTGTCACATAAGGTGTTGCTGTGAGTCAAGAAAGCAGTGACACACAATACAGAAAACCAGCACAGTTTATTTAAACAGATTTTTTAAATGCTGGCTTCTAGCTGTCATTTTTTTCTGACATTGCTGAGTACTAGGCTGCCTGGCCCAGTGGTGTCGTCCTGAAAGTTTATTGAAAACCTGATATTTCTGTTAAAGTACGTGTTCTGAATCAGCAGGTCTGTCCTTACCTGTCCCCTGGTGACCACCAGCTGGCTGACTTGGATCTGGTCCTAGCTCCTAAAAGGACATTGACATTTCAGTTTTGCTGATCCTGAAAGGTGTCTATGCTAGGCTCAGCCGTGTGGCTGGCCGTTTGTTTCTTAGGTCCTTTTCCACTGGTCAGGTAAGCTGTGCGGGGTTTCCGTGTTGGAGATGAAGGGTCTCAGGCTGGTTCAGCCGAGGCATTTCTCTTCCTGCTGCAGGTGCTGTGGCTCTTGAGTTTTGATGACGACAAGAACACGCTGGCTGACGCGGTGGACAAGTACTGCATTGGCGTGCCGCCCATCCAGTGGCTGGCCTGGATCCCCCAGCTGCTGACCTGCCTGGTGGGCTCGGAGGGCAAGCTGCTGCTGAACCTCATCAGTCAGGTGGGGGCATCTCGGTCTCTGCTTCAGGTGCTTTTCTTCCAGGAAGGAGACAGGCATGCTCGAGGTGATGAAAGCTGTCCGAGTAGCACTTCTGAGCACTGTCACTGCTTAGCAAAGAGCAGATGAGTTGAGAGGCGGGAACGTGGTGGTGGTAGGGTGTCTCTGTGTCGGCATCTTTCCACACAAGATGCCAGTTAAGCCTCTTGTGGAGATGAAAAATGGGAGTTAGGGCTTTATGAGGTGAAAGCCTTGTATTTATTTCCCATGAGGTGGGATTGATGTCTCCTGTGTGATTTCTCCTCCTTGGAGGGTTTTAGACTAAAACTGCCCCAAACTGCTACCATCGAGCTGATTCTGCCCCACTGTCGCCCTCGAGGACAGAGTGAACCTCACCCGGAGGGTTCTCAGAGATGTAAATCCTAACGGAAGCCAGCTGCCCCATCTCTGTCCTGCAGAGCGGCTGGTGGATTCGAATCCCTGACCTTGTAATTCGTAGTCTAATACTTAAGTAAAACCTGGTGGCAGAGGAATAATCCTTTCCTCCTCACCTGGTGTCCACCTGGCCTTTTCGGGAGGCCTGGTGTCTGTTCAGTCAGAAGTGGCCGTTTGTCCTATAATGGACATTTCTCATCTTCTGCTGCAGTTTGGCCATGGGAAGGCCCGAGGGCCTCCTTGTCATAAGCTGTCCCCTGCAGTGGCCATTGGCTGGGTCTCCCATCCTGGGGCAAGATTACTGCTGCTGGGTTTGCCTCCTGCTTATGACCTGAGGGAGCTCTGGTGGCCTAGGGGTAAGGAGTTACACTGCCAACCCAAGGGCCCTCGGTTCTAATCCACCAGCATTTGCCCCCGTGTGGTGTTTGGCCTCCACAAACCCTCTTGGAGGGTCAGTGGTGAGTCAGTTCCAAGTCAGTGTATACAGCGTGACTTAGTGTTGTGAACTGCTGACCGCCCCCAGCGTGCCCACTGCCTGTGTCCTAAGTCCCGGCATGTGTGATGGTGATTTTGTGAGGTTGGGTGTGAGCGCGTGTCCGTGGAGAGGCTCGTGGTGACGCCCTGCCACCCCCGGTCTCCGAGCAGGTCGGCCGCGTGTACCCGCAAGCTGTCTACTTCCCCATCCGGACGCTGTACCTGACGCTGAAGATCGAGCAGCGTGAACGCTATAAGAGCGGTGCGTGTGCGGCGGGCTCCCCACGGGGTCGTGCGGTGTGGGGTCCTGCGGGCCGGGCGCGGGGCCGGGCAGTGCCCTTCCCACCACAGCGGAGGGCACAGTTTACCCGGGAGATTCCATCTGGTAAGCCGGAAGCATGCACAGCTTTTAGCCGGCTAAATCCTCAGTCTCAGTACCTGGTGAGCAGTGCAGTCCCGGCCACTGGGGGTCTGTTGTGTCGAGCATGTGGCCAGTGTCCACCTGCCAGAAGTGTAGCTAACATTCTTAGCAGACATTGAGAACAACGCTATAAGATTTATAAAACCAATATTGAACAGTCCCAACTTGCCAGGAATTGAGTTCTTTAATAGTGTCAGTTACTTGTTTTCTTAAGTCTCTGGTGTTTTTAACCATGGACCTTGGTGTCAGAGGTGGGCATCTTCCCGGCTGACGTCTGCTGAGGGTGTAGCCCTGTCACACGTCAGCCAGCAGGCGAGCCGGGAGTCGTCAAGCGTGTGGCCAGCTGACTGTACATGTTTCTGCTCCACACCGAGGGGTCTACTTCAGTAAACTTAAATGATTCTGGGAAAATTAGACTCTTTCATCCAGAGATTCTGCTGAAGCCAGAAAGGGGACATTAGGAAGACTGCAGTCTTATTTCCTGGAGTGGGAGTAACTTTACATACACCAAAATAACCCTGTGTACGTGGCCGGGTTCCTCAGTGAAGACGTATTTTATTAGACTTGTTTCGGATTCTGTAAGCTACAGTGTAGAGCCTTTGATCCTGTGGTAATAAGGCAGGATCTCAGATCCGTCCTTCCCCGCTCATAGAGGGGTCCAGCTGGTGCTCCCCGGTCACACTCGCTTGGCACTGGCCCTTGCACGCTTTTCCTACCTGGTGCACTGCACCTGTGGCGCAAGGGTGTCGGACACCACGCTCACTGCCCCAGCCCCTGGCTGCCCACTACAGTTGAGTGGGGCCTCTGACCTCCTATGGTACAAGAGTGTGGGTCACTGCACTTGCTGTCTGCAGTCCTGGGACCACCCTCTGCAGCAGGGAGGGTGGGGGTCTCAGGCCATGTGACATAAGGGTGTTGGTCACCACCCTTGCTGCCCCCAGCCCCGGGACCACCCTCAGCAGCAGGAAGGTGGGGGTCTGAGTTTGTGTGGCATGGGGGTGTCGGTCACCACCCTTGCTTCTCCCAGTCCCGGGACCACCCTCTGCAGCAGGGCAGGTGGTTCTCCAGCCTCAGGATGCCTGACCCAGGGTGTCGCACACCGCACACCGTGGGGAACCGCATTCCTGCAGCTGGTGGGTCCTGTGAGTCCCGCCCCTCACGCGCTCCCCGGCGCTGACCTCGGCGTTGTGTGTGTCGCTCCCAGATTCTGGACAGCAGCAGCCCAGTTCAGTGGGTAACCAGTCCCATTCTGCATCAGATCCAGGGCCCATTAGAGCCACCGCTCCCATGTGGCGCTGCAGCCGAATCATGCACATGCAGCGGGAGCTGCACCCCACGCTGCTGTCGTCCCTGGAGGGCATCGTCGACCAGATGGTCTGGTTCCGGGAGAACTGGCACGAGGAGGTACTGGGCGAGGGCCCTGCATGCACTGGTTCCACATGGGATGCTCATGGAGCCACTTCCATGGCCCGGGTCATTGACCACCACCAGAGGGCAGTGGTTGGCATGGGCTGGAGTTAGAGGGAGTCATAGTGAACCCCAAGACCAGGACTGCCCAGTGCACACTGGCCAGGTCCCCTCACTGTATGACATGTGAGAGGGCATGAGGTCATCAGGCAGGGTCTGGCCAGTGAAGCCCAGCCTCCCTGGGTTGGTGCTGGGCTCGCGTCACAGTGAAGCTGGTGGACCTCAAGTTCCCGTGTCCAGCCAGAGGGGAGCATGCAGACACGCGTGTGGCCACCAGAGGGCCTCCTCCGTGTGGGCAGGCTTCCTTTAACAGCAGAGGACACCTGGTGGGGCTTCACATACACTGTAGGAGGTGTTGTGGCTACCTGAGGCCAGGCCCTGGGGGTAACCACAGAGCCTAGTGGGGCAGGGGAGGTGTGGACGGGGCATTTGGAGCTCACTTGCCAGAGAGCTGTGCTGGGAAAAGGGTGGATGCGGTAATGACCCTGCCGGGACGGGGGATGTGTGGATGACTTTGGGGGCTCGTGGGTGCCCTCTGCAGTGTTGTGAGACGGGAGGGGACGTGTTGCTGGGGTCCCCCTGCCGAGGGGCCGCCTGTGAGACACCTCTGCTCCCCCAGGTCCTCAGGCAGCTCCAGCAGGGTCTGGCCAAGTGCTACTCTGTTGCGTTTGAGAAAAGCGGCGCCGTGTCTGACGCTAAGATCACCCCGCACACGCTTAACTTCGTCAAGAAGCTGGTGAGCACCTTCGGGGTGGGTCTGGAGAACGTGTCCAACGTGTCCACCATGTTCTCCAGCGCAGCCTCTGAGTCCCTTGCCCGGCGGGCTCAGGCCACTGCCCAGGACCCTGTCTTCCAGAAGCTGAAAGGCCAGTTCACAACCGGTGAGTTCTCCTCTCTTCTTATTAGCCAGCTGACCAGTGGGTGGTCATTGTCACGGCGGCCGGGGGCACAGCTGGGCATCGTCTGCCCCAGGGGCCGCATCCGCGTGGGAGGAGTTGGAGAAAATGTCCTGGAGCCGAGCAGAGCTTTTCCACTCTGGCTGTTTTGTAACCGTCCTGTAAGCGTTTGTCACTGATGGGTAAACCCGTCAAGCAGGGGTGCGTGGTTCTGCTTTCTGGAAGTGTGTTTCCATGACTCTCCGTATCTGTGGGAACATGGTGAGAAGGGCCTTGCGTGCCGAGCGTGTTGTAATGTGAATGGAGAATCTGTCCCACCAGCTGCTAGCAGCCGCGGCTCAGCCTGGTCTAAATGCGGCGTGCCCTCCATCTGCTGCCTGGTGGGGTCTCCGGCCCTCGGCGAGCCGCGTGTGCCGAGGCGCTCGCAGTGTTACCAGCACCTACGGGGCGGGTGCTCCTGAAACGCTCACCAGTGTCACCCTCTCGTGTCTGGTCAGGGTGTGCTGTCTGTGACGGCCTTTGACACACGGCTCACTGCCAGTTCTGGAAGGTCTG